TTGTAAACAAGGTGAAAACTTGACAAAATCTATGAAACAACTATTTTCAGACACTGGGCAATGTGATGCCTGAGAAAAGGGAAACAGAGAAGGTAAGCTCTGTGATGGACTTAGTTCTGGTTCTGGAAGCACTTTCCAGACTACAGCAGGGGGGTGGGGGAGCTGAACAGAAAAATCACAGAATGGGAGGTAAGAGATAGGAAGAAACATCTGGGAAGTATGAAGTCATTGGAATTTGTAAGACCAAGTAGAGAAAAAGAGAGAGCATGCAAAAGCAACTATGGAGCTACAGGAAAAATATTCCGTAAATGTACATAGAGGACCTCTATGGCGAAGCTGCACATGAGTAAAGACTATAAGGCCAGACCAAAAGCCAATTACTGGTACATATAAGTCAAACGACTCCCAGGGCAACTGAGGGCTGTGAGATGCTTTGGTTCTGACCAGTAAAGCCGAGAGTAGCATCAAGCATTCAAGGCAGTCAGTAGGCATCCAAGAAGAGTTCAAAACAAGTCTCAGAAAGATGAAGCTGAGCCACAAGCAACTTAAGTGCCTGACAGACAAAGCCCAACACTCTTTAAAGGAATATAATACAGTCCTGATGCTCAAACACAACAGTGTCATGTTCAACAGTCAATAAAATTTTACTTGACATTGAAAAGGAAGAAAAATGAGACCCATAATCATAAGAAAAATCAATGACAACAGATCCAGAAATCAGATATGATGAAATTACTACTACAAGGACTGTGAAATACACAGTGCCTCAGTTTTCCCTCCTGTAAGACAGGGATGATGATAATGCTCCCCCCCTAGGGTTCTCATGAAGACAAAATGAGTCAGTGCCTGAAAGCACTTACAACAACACCTGGCAGATACTAAGCCCTGTACACATGTTTGTTAAATAACAAATACATAGAACTAATTTGAAAATAGCCCTTCTGATTTTATTGTCTATTTTCCTGATTTGAAGTTATGTGGTAAATGCATCTGCATCTGATGCACCAGGAGTAAACCGAGGGAAATGTCAGTTCTTCAAAAATAACACTGGATCATGGAGGAGAGGAACTACAGCACCCTCACACCTCGCTGGACTCAGGGATGCACAATTCTTTTATAATCTTATCTGAGTGTCCTATGACTTTGAGGGATACTAAGTTATTTCCAGTAAACTGTCAAGGACACAACAAGTTTCCAAGGGGATAAACAAAAGTGGTGACTCTTAAGAAAGTCATGCATCTTGGAAATTGCATCAATGAAGCACCAAAAGTAAGCACTTTAGAAAAACACAAAATAAATTGTCTTTGATGTTCTTTAAAGATGAGAGAGAGGAAGAAAATTTCAATGAAAAGAGGGATTTGATGAGAACATCACAAATAATAAGAGACACCACAGAAATAGGGCAGAGGCTTCAAAATAAAATCAGGGTTATCATGCACTTAAGATAAAAGAATCAAGAAGGTGCTCAAGTTAAATTAAGTAACATAATTGGTGCATGAGTGACATAGGGAGATTTTCAAGATAGATATTCAGGAGAAATCACATTTTATTTGAAGGAGACAAACACCTCACATTATAGTACATATTCTTTCCTTCCCAAAGTGCTTATATACATATGATGTCATTTTTATGTTCACATGTCATCACCTCCTTCAAGCACCTTCTTAAGTGTCACATTCTCAGGGAGGTCCTCACTGACCACTCTTACTGTGCAATTCCCCCGCCCCCCAATACTCTCTCCCTTGCTTTATTTTTCTCCATAGTGCTCATCACCATCTGACATATTTTACTTATTTATTTTCTTTTCATCTCCTTAGAATAAAACTGGGGTTTGTTTATGTTTTGTTCACTTCAGTTATTCCCAAGAGTTTAGGACAGTGCCTGGCACACAGGAGATTCATCATGAATGAGCAAATAAATTAATCAATCCAGTCATCTGAAGAGGGAGGAAGCAAATATTTATACCATGTATTTTAAAAGAGGTGGGAGAGGTAAAAAGAGGGTTTTTTTTTAATAATTTGTTCTAAATATGAAGAATGGCAAGTTTGTTGCCTTTCTGGGAAAAGAAAATCTTTAGAAATTAGTCACCTATGAATGAGTAAAAAAAATTAAAATCACCAGGGGAAGATCAGGCAGGAGACTTCCCAGTATAGGCAGAGAGCTGATACAGGAGTAACACTATTATCATGTAACCTGGGGAGACTGAACTCAGTGCCCACAGTGAACCTCAGAAAATAGAAATAAGACAGCATGAACAGCCATTAGAGTGACTGTAATAAAAGAAGGATTTCACATGTTCTACATTCCCAGATGCTGACAACAGAGCATTTATTAAATCTGAATACAAGCAACCAGTGTAGAGAAAGATCACACGGGAAAACTGACTCAGCTGCAGCAAAAACGTGGGTGGGATTACCACCT